TATGTAAAACTCCTGTGCAACCCTCTGTGCCCTTTCCCTCTCCCAGCACATCTTAATCAACTTTTCATCCCTGACTCAAATGACATCATGGAGAAAAGCAACTTGTACAAAGAACAGCTGCCCATAAATCTCAAAGGAAACTATTTGAAGCGTAGAGACTTTCTTCTTTCCCCTTAAATACGTTTATTTTGAGAGTCTTATTGATTTTGGTGAAACTCTGAGTTACACCAGCTGGAAATCCAGCCCCGTCTCTAAACCTGACTGACAAAGATCATTACTGTTGCAGCTCAAGAACTCCAACTTCAAGCATTGTTGCCATTTGCACATTCATAATCCCTCTTCCCCACATCTGACAGCTTGGGCTGCTCACAGCTCTGGGCATATATTGCACTGCCAGGAGCACAGATGGGCAAGGAACAGGATTGGATTTATAGCTGCTGATCTCTTAAAAAGCTGCATAATATGAATATTTGAGTTTGTCAATACTAAGCCCAATCTCTTACTATAGGAAACTAAAACCTCAGTGGCTCAAACCCAAAAGCTACGATGAAGTGACACCTATTTGAGGCCTGTGCAAACCAGTGACAACATATGATGGACTTGAACTTTAACAATTTGGGAATAAGGGAAGGTAAAAGCCATTCCCCAGGGCAAGGATCTGTAGTTCTGCAAAAGCCTTCTGCAATTCCACACCTCATCTGCTGGAATGTTACCTCACAGTAAAGCAAAGCTGCCTTGTGGAAAGCAGATAAGAAAATTCAGAGTTATCATCTGGGGTCTCCTCCTCTGTCAAGTAATTGAACTTTTGCTCAGACTGGATCATGTGGATTTTTTTATTTCAGTACCTGCCAAAAAGGGTGGGTTTGGCTGCAAAGGGAAAACAGGAAATGGCTTGAGAATTAATAAAGCTTGCAGAAAACAGCTTTTATGCTTCTGACCAAATACTGCAGGGCCCACAGCTGCCCCCAGGGTACAGAAACAGGAAATTTGGCAACAGAAAGAGACAGTGTCATTTGAGTTACAGAGGAGGTTTGCAAAGGATGTCATCAAATGGAATGCCTAATTTACACTTTTTCAATGTTTTTGGTGAAAAGGTAGAAAGGGTAAATATGGATTTACTTTGTGCCGACTGGAGATGTTGTAAACTAAGATTTCCCTTGTGTTGGAGATAATGGATGAGATGGTTCTGTGGAAAGATGAATTTTGGAGCATTGGAGCTGTACTTTCATGGAAAATCCTGTAATAAGTCAGGCAGAACATTCAGATGTGTCCCCATGCTGTAACCTCTGACAGCTCGTGGGACTGCAGAGGGGTAATTTGAATATTCCTCTGTGCAGAGAGGAGACATTTGCGTGGTCTTTTTAGATGTGAGTATAGAGAGAGTCACCCCCGTGTGTACATGCACTGCTTTGGTCTCTATGGTGGGCTTTAAATAGAGTGTGGATGGTTATGCTCCCATTTTACAGGTTATTTACAGGAAGTCAAAGCCCATTTGTGATCAGAGGGAACCTTGGATTGACTTCAGTGCCCCCGGGTTCATGATTGATCCAGGGGAAAACATCGTCCCACACGGCTTCGGCCCTGAGGCGGAACAGTTGGCAGGATACAGTCACCACTTCTCTACTCCCCCAGCTCTGGTTCATTCCTCGCTCTCACTGAACCAGACACAGCCCAAACCTCTCACAAGACTCTGCAAACCACTGATATGATGAGACGGAAGGAACCGATTATGAAATGCAAACACAAGGGCTGCGTCGACTCGAGCCCCTCTCCACGTCCTCCCCCAAACCACTGGGATTGAAAACACAGACCTGCCTGGCAAGGAAAAAAAAAAAACCACAGAGTGACCCATGCACTCATATCCTGGCAATTTGTGGGAATTGTCATAACACACCCAGACCAAATTACAACCTCTCTGCGTGGATGTGACACTCATGGCACGGCAGCACTGGGGCACATGTGCACATCCCTGCCAGGCACACAGGTGTGATGTGCTCACCTGCTGTTCTCTAACAGACACACAGTTAAGGGCTGCTTTCAATGCAGATGAATTGTTAAATCAGAACCTATGAATAACTCCTTTGTTGCCACTAAACAGAATTACAGAGCACTGAACTGCAGTTTCGTTAAACCCCCTTAATTTGGGACAGTTCAGAGGAAAACTGCTCCCTCATCCCCCTGGCTCCATCCCCTCTCCCAAAAGCATGTTGGCTCTTCTGAAAGAATTTTGTTGCTGTTTTAAATCAGCCTTAATCTCCTTACACAGCAACTGTCCCCACTGGAAGGCAAGTTCCTGTCACAGTTGTCCTTCAGGAGCAATCCCATCCCAAGATGACAGTTAGGAAGAAGCTTTTTCACCAGCTTGTTTTCCATCTGTGGGCACATTTCTTATGCCCTTTGTTGCACTTTGACACCCTGATAGAAGCTGATGTTATTAAATTCTTCACAGTTCAGTAAATTTAGCTAAGGAGTTTTCCTTTGAAGAACAGGTCCAAACAGGAGGAACAGGCTGGTATAGGAGAAACTATTCCTTACTGGGAAAAATAATAAAAGTATCAAAAAGTGTTGGAATAGCCACTGGAATTTGGACATCTCCAATTCCTGAAAGCTCAAGAATCCCAGCTCTATACCCAGAAGACAGTACAGCTTAAAGGAAGAATTTATTTAATATTTCAAATAGCTCTTCCTTTAGAAAGGTTTATTGCTAAACATGAGGTAAGTTTGTTTATAGGAATAATCATAAAAGGTCTCCAGAGTGCTTTTGAAGAAAACTGAATGAAATCCTAAAAATACCTTCTTTTTGCTCCTGTTGAAAATTTGTTAACATTAAAAAGTCACTGTTTGCATCAGTTTGTCTTTTGTGGTGCACTACATTCACTTTTTTGTTCTAAAAATACATACAGAATTCCAAACATTCCATTCTGATAAGGTAAAAAAATATTTCTTTCAAAATAAATTCCATTAAGACTGACATACTCCTGTAGCAAGATTTAGTTTCATATGAGGTGCATTTCCCCAATAAATAAACATTCTCCTAAATAAATTTGGAACTGCATTATTGAGAATAATTAATCCCAGCTTTTAATATGCTGAAAGATAGTACAAAGCAATATTAATTTTACTGCTTTTCTGGAGACAATAAGTCAATATTGCCTGTTGATTCTTGGCATTGGCATCAACTGTTTTCATCCTGCCCTCCTCTTCATCACAAAGAACACAATTATAGCACCATAATTTATAGCTAAGAAATTCCTTTGGCACCCATCACTTTGAGAGGGAAAGAAAATCCCAGTGGAAGGTGCAGCATTTCCCACCTGCAGCCCTTTTTACATCATGCCTTACGTTCAGACTTGCTTTGGTCCTTTTTAGCACCAAGTGTTGTGGGGTCTTAATGACAGCTCTGACTCATTCCCTGAGCAAAACAACCCAGCCATGGTTTAGGGGGTTCTTTTGTTTTGTTTGGTTGGGGTTTTTTTTGTGTCTGTATTTAAAAAATAATAAAACCCCTGCCACAAGTCTCCTCTAGCAGAGGTTACCTCCTCCACAGCTGTCAGCAGAAAGGAGATAAATCCACGCTGCTGCTGCTTTGTGAGCCTGAGGTTCTGGCACTGCAGGACTTGGAGGTGCAGAAGCTGAGGGAGAAGGTTCTGCCTTTCCTCACTCACTCTGTGACACTGGTGCAGTCAGTTCACACCTGAGCACTGATTAAAACTCACCACACTCCTAAACAGAATCACAGAATCACGGAATCAACTGAGTTGAAAAGACCTCTGAGATTGTCAAATCCAACCCTTGATCCAACCCTGCCGTGCTTCCCAGCCCATGGCACTGATGCCACATCCAGTCTCACCCTAAACACCTCCAGGATGGTGACTCCACCCCTCCCTGGGCAGCCCATTCCAATGGCTGAGCATTCTCTTGGGAAAAAATTATTTCTCAATATCCAACCCAAACCTCCCCCGGCACAGCTGAAGATCCAGCCCTCTCATCCTACTGCTGGTTCCTGGGAGCAGAGGCCAACCCCCGCCTGGCTACAACCTCCTGGCAGGGAGTTGTAGAGAGTGAGGAGGTCTCCCCTGAGCCTCCTCCTCTCCAGGCTGAGTTCCCCCAGCTCCCTCAGCCTCTCCTCACAGCACTTGTGCTCCAGCCCCTTCCTCAGCCTCGCTGCTCTTCTCTGGACCTGCTCCAGATATGTATAAATAGATGTAAATCAGGAGATTATTACTTGCCCAAGATGAGGGAAGATTCAGAATAGGGTTGATATAAATAATTTCTCTCCAAGTTCAGCCCCAGTTCCTGCCTAACAACCATTACTGGTGAGCAAAGGCCTGTCTTACAGATGCTGGTGCCATCCAGCCCTGCACACCTGCCCTGCAAGGCTGATTCCCACAAACATGGACGAGGAAAAACTGATGAGTCTTGCACAGACTCATTGTAGGGCTGTACTGCTAATAATAATACATATTAAAAGGAAAAATCCTTTCTCTGAAGGGTGATATCAGCACTCTGAGACCAGCAAGCCTGTGGGCAGAGAGAAATGGTCGAGCACAGCCAGGGTGTCACTTGAGGACATGAGCTCAGAGCCTCAGACACACAGGAAAACTCAGACACTATTTACTGCAGAATTAAATAGCCTGCCCTAAAACTGTTTCAGTGTCCCTAAATGAACATTCAGTACCACACTTGCTTAGACAAACATGGGGGCTCACTTAGAAATGAAAAAACCATCAGTTCACCACTGGAAATAACAAGAAAAGTGTCCTTAGTCTCGTTCCTTAAGTATTTTTTAAAGACAGTTTGCAGAAGGGAGGGAGCACCTCGCTCTGCCTAAATTCCCTTTCCCCACTTTGCTAAATAAAAGTCTTGTGAAAGCCACAACAGCTCCTGTAACTTTAAACCTGGGCTGAGATCATAATTTTGGTGCTGACCAAACAGCGTGCGGAGGGCGGGCCTGGCTGCTCGTCGAGGACCACCTTGGGCTGCTCCCACCCCTTGGCTAAAGAAAATAACTCCAACTCCACTCAGTTTTCTCTAACTGCACAGTTATCAGCTGGGAAAGCCTTCCCCCTCTATGATACAGCAGCAAAAGGAATATTTGGAATACCAAAGTGTTTTCTTTGCAGTGATTTCTTTTTGGGATCTCAATTCTCCGCTGCCTCTAAATAAAAATTAATCCGAGTTTGGATCCATCTGGTCTCAGGATTAGGAAAAGCGACTCTCCAAGCAGATCCAAGATGTTTATTAAAGTTCCATTCTTCATCCTCGTCCTAGGGAGTGTTCCCTTCGCAGCACTTGCTGAAGAAGGTAAGGAGAAACTTTGGTTACAATTATTTCCAGCCGTTTCCTGCCCTTTAACGGTTTCTCTGCTCGCTCCCAGGTTATGGAGCTGCTCTGTCCTGTTTGTAAAACTTCCTTTGGAATTCTCAAACTCCAGCTGTAATCTGGTGACTAACAGGGCAGAAGTTTTCAGATGGGCTGAGTTAGGCTCTGTTAGGAAAGAATTTTCTGTGTGTGTCTGCAAGGGAGGGAGAAGGTACAGGCAGGGAAGGCATTCCAGCCCCAGCCCTTGGAAATGAGTCTCCCTGTGACACACACAGTGCAGAGTGCAAGCAATAGGTTAGTTTAATTGACATTTAGGTGGTGTAACTCTACCAGAGTAATTTATAAATATTTCCATTCAGGAGTTTAACTTACGAGCTTAAAGACATTACAGCCACTTAGAATTTGAGCCTTACTCAGGGCTTTGCTAAGCCTAACTTAGCCATAAGCAATATATACAAACTAAAACAGGGAGAGTTATTACCTAAGACATATTAAAAAAGTGTTAGGTACCTACTTAGAAAAGATTAATTTGGCAAATTATTTCTTTTGAATTTTATAAAAAAGACACACTTTTAGGTAAAAGAGACATTTTCTTACAGCTAAAGGGGAAGAGTCTGATTTATTAACAGTAAATCAGAATTACCCTGACCAGTACTTGTTTCCAGGAATATCACTTTGAAATTCAGACTTTCAGTGCAGTGTTTGACTCCTGATGAATGAATTGGCCACCAGGCAACGTGAAGTGCCTCTGCCATTGCCATGGAACACATTCCCAGTACCAGTGCTCTAAATACATCAATTTGAAACTCAGCCCATCAGTCTTCCAAAGCATAACTGTACTTGTCAGACTTGGATTTGGGGACCCAAACTGAAAAAAAAAAAAAAAATGACCTGATTTTGGCCTGATAATAATCAGCACCATTCTGCTGGATAGAATGGAGCTATATCAATATACAGCATGTGTGGGTGTTGACTTGAAACTTCTAATGGTGTATGTCAGAATAGGAGGCTGAGAGTTTGGAGCTGTGCTTCAGAATTTCACAGAAAATCTAAAATCAGCACATATTAGGCAAGACACAAAAATTGTTTTCTAGGAAATTGGGGGAAACTGTAAGAATTGTTTAAGGACATCTACCTTGTCCTTAAGAAGCATCACTATTAAATGTACCCAAGTTTAAAGCCATTAGAAATGAGGCAAAGCCACCACTATTTTATAGAATTACCTTAAGCAGTTTCTAAGATACCAGAATCACAGGTAGAAAAGGTGTTTCATCTCCAGGCTTTAGGGGAATTTTTAAGCATTTCTTCTCTCAACTCTGAGAGAAGGAGTCCAGCAACAATCAGGCTGAAACCCTACTAGTCAGAAAGAAAAACAGAGTATTTGCTGCTTGCAAGATCCCACCTCTGCTTTGTAACCAGCACTGAACTCCACAGCAGGATCTAGAACATGGTTTACAGTGTTTAAGACTTTTGGGGGGTTTAGGTTTTATGACTTTTTCTTCACATGGAGCCAGTCATGTAGGACAACTTGCAAAGGATACACCTGGGAAATGGACTCCAGAGGTAAAACAAGAAAATATTGAGTATTTAATATGTATTACTGGTGTTTACTGACAACCATCAGCAATTATGTGTTAGAACAGACTTGAGGTGACAATGCCACCTTCACAATCTGTGCCTGGCTGACAGGGGAAGGGAGAATGTCTGACTTGAATAGTCCCTGGGGGAGTGGGGATATCCAGATATCTGAAACCCTGGGGTGACAGTGTGGCTTTAGGGTTTTAGGGGAAAAAAGTCTTATTATCAGATTCTAATACTTCTTAACCCAATGAGGCCATAAATAAATCTGCAGCTTCCCTTTTCTTGCAATTGGGCACTCCAGGTTATGGACTGAGACTGACTCAAGAAAAGCAGCTTTGTTTCAATCAGGAAGTGTATTACCAGTTTCCAAAAGGATTATTATTATTATTACTGAATGATTAGCAGATACATTTTTGCCTTTCTGTGATCCCTTTCAGCATATAAAAACTCAGGCAAGTTACTGGATCAGACCAAATGAGTTGAAATGGAAGTTGGCCTCCACCAGCATCCAAACTAGTGCTTTGCAGAGGCATTTCTTAATTCCAAACCCTCTCCTGTGGTGAAAATATCATTGCAGAGATGGAGATTACTGCAGTGGCTGTCACATAACATGAACAAAAATTAACGTGATTGTTGACAAGATACCACATGTCACTTGAGCTGTATCAACTGTCCACGTGCCTGATGTTACCTAGAGGCAAACACTAGATTATATCTCCTTATGCAAGTCAGGTTTATCCCAGATCATGTAACATTTGGTTTGGACCGAAAGTAAGCACGTTGACAGGATAATTCAGATGATGTTTCAGATATGAAACATTTTGAGTCCATTTTCCAGAAGAAAGGAAACTGAAGTTTACAGTCAACCCTGAAAGACTAAAAAGTTTTCTGGGTTTTTCAAAATCATAAAAAATAGAATTGACAAAATCACCAGAAAAGTTTTTTTTGGAAGTGTCTTGATTTACCCAAACTGTTGCTGTTTCAGTGGCAAAACTATAATAAAGTCAGGCACCTCTAAACTCTCCTGAAAATCAAATTCTGTAACTGCTGGCTATAAACAAAATGTACAACCAAGAGGAACAGTCACATTTGACTCAAAAGGGACCCAGTTTTCTACTAAATAAGCACCACAAAACCTTTCACCCTGCACCATGAATGATGAGTGCTCTTACATGTGTCCCATATATGCCTCTTCATGATATAAATCTAACTCTACACGTCCAATACCCAAAACAATTATCACAAAAAAGGGGAAAATCATCTTGCTGAATCACTATTAGTAGGTCTGCAAATCAGTGGGTCTCTATTTTCCAGTGTCTTTGTGGAAGACCAGCAGAGAACAGACAAAATTTGCTTTATTTGCTTTCTCCTCTCTGCTGGGCAAGCAGAGGTTTGCCCATCTGTATTCCAACAGTTAATTTTTGAATCTGTAACTTTACAAACAAGGAAAACAGTCATATTTAAAGGCTTACAAGTGGACCTTTCATTAACTCAAGCTGCACAGTAAAATCTGGGAACAGAGAGGCCAGATCCTCCACTCCTGTCATTCAGTAGTTCCCACTGAATCCCTGCACATACCCCAGACCTAGGACTGTAAATCATCTGGATTAAAAAAAAAAAAAAGGCAGTTAAAAACCTAGAGAGCATTTTACTAGATAATAAAAGGCAGTGAAGGAAGGCTGCTGGGCTCCAACAGAAGCAGGCAGTGTTTCTCCATGTGTCACTTGAGGCGAGCCACACGTGGACCACAGAAATGCCTCATTCCTGCTGCTGGCCCGGCTGGGGCAGATGGGCCGTCTCAGTGGCACGTTTGTTTTGTTGGTTTGTTTGCTTTTTGTCTGGATGTGGTCGGGGACCGCAGGATGGGAGGCAAATGCTGCCAGGTCCTGCCCCTCCCTGCATCCCAACCCTCCCAACCCCCTGCTGCAGCCTCTCGAAGGGCCCCCCCTGCTTCGTGTGCCCCCTCAGTGGGGATTAACCCCCCAGAAAAGCACAAACTGCTGCCCAGCATTTCAGAACAAGATGTGGGATTTGGGAGCAGGGGTGTGCTGGGATGTTCTAAAGAGAAACGAATGAGGAAAAATAAGAGACAAAAGCATTATTGATTTCCAACTGCCTGTCTCAGAAGCTTGGCCAAAGGCTCTCCAAGGACAGAGAAGCTGATGCTGAGCACATCCTCGTGTTGCTTTATGACTTCCTCATGTTTTTTCCATCTTTGTTGATTACAAACACTACAACATCCAGCACAAATTGGATCAGAATAATCCTTTGTGAGGGAATAATTCCGCTGTTACACCATTTTCAGGCAAACATGTGGTCTCTTAGGAGGGCTTGAGTAGTGTAAGAGATACTGCTAAATCTGTAAAGGGGACACACTTAACTCCAAATGGACATTAAAATGGTTTTATGACTGTGAAACGCATCCAAATATTAGCTAGTACATGATTAATGTAGGATAAAAGTCAGACTAAACATATTTGAGTGGATCTTGCTTGCTGCATGGCAATAAAAGGAGGTAGCCAAAAATCACTCTGTGAACAAAATTAGCACCTAAGAGTCTCCAGTTCAGTGTTTGGTGGGAGTATTTCAAACAAATAAGTTAAGGAACATGCAAAGGGTCCTGCTGGCAGATACAAGGGGTTAGTAACCTTCAACAAGGCAGCTGTGAAAGGGCACGTGGCTGTAGCCTCAGAGTTCTGGGGAAGAAGTGATTCAGGGAAAAGATTAGTTTATTACTGTATTAGAGGTCATTTCTTAATTCCTCTCATCTGCATTTACACATCCCAGTATTTGCACACAGATATTTGCTTTCTGCTGCACATGTGGAAAATCTGCTGCTCCCTGACACAAAGTTTGGTACTTTCCTCCTTATGTTGGCTGAAATGCTCATTTTTTGTCAGCCCTGCAGTAACAGCTCTGGAATCCTGCCCCTGACAGAGAGGTGCAGCAGATACTCACACCTTGATCACAACTCCAACCTCGTTGTCCCAATCAAACCCTCAGGGAAAACAATTAAACTATGAGTAAAATTGCCAAGGAGCACAGGGCAGCAAATATCAATAACAATGTGGTTTTATGCCACTCTCATGGGATAGCAAGTCTGAGGTCAGCGTGCTGAGCAGACAGGAAAGCAGAGGTTGACACACATTCTTAAAAGCATAAATTTGGAATATTCATCTCTAGTTCTGCAAGGAATATTTTAAAGGAATATCCCATAATGGAGTTAGTCCCTTCCTAATGCCCACAGCTCTGTGCTGATCTTACCATGCCTAAGACAAGGCTTACTAAGGTTCCACGTTTTCCCCTGGTGGTTTTGTTTCCCAGCTTTGGTTGGGGGTCATTACACACAGCAATCCCTTGAAGAGCAGCTACTTCTCTATATCTGCCCAGTTCAAGTATAT